GATCTGGATCTTATGAAGTTGATATTTTGAAGGTATTTGATCAGCTTTTTCTATTTTCAACTAATTTTGTAAAATCTGTGGGCTTAAAGTTCTGTCAACAAATTTTATGACACAGCTGAAAATATGAAAACATTCAATTTCTTTTATTGTTTCTGTCACTGAAAATAATAATGTTATCCTTCTCTCTTTTTTTTTTTTTCCATGTAGGCTAGTCTCTATCCAGGGAAAGTTTTGTACCTCAAAATGCAAAAACCAGAAGGTTTCAAGTTCCACAGTGGCATGTATATATTCCTTCAGTGCCCTCAAATTTCGCCTTTTGAATGGTACTTTTATTTCCTTCAAGTGACCATTTCATTCAAGATGTTGTGCCATTTTTATTTAATACTAAGACTGTGTGAACAATTTTTTCCTTAAACACTTCTAAAAAAATTAAAAAAAAATAAAGAAACTTTTTTATAAGATAAAATTAACTTATAGGCTAGCTAATTTGTAGAAATTCTCTACTTAACCTTCTCTAAAGTTTTATTTTTAATTTATAATTTTTTTTAAAAAATTTGTCTAACCTAAAAGTGTTTACTGATAAATATGTTCAAACATATCCTATTTCAATGCATTCTTTCGGTTTTGTGATGTCAAGTAGGTCAATGAATATTGATGTTCTATTTGAGTTTCTTTTGTCTAAATTTTCAGGCATCCATTTTCCTTGACTTCAGGGCCACAAGATGATTACCTCAGTGTGCACATTAGAACACTCGGAGACTGGAGTTACCAAATATATGATCTATTCCAAGAGGTGAAGATAAAATTTTAAATTGTATGCTTCTTATATTCTTTGGACTCAAAATTGCTCCTTAATCTGCAGGCAGTGTTATCACGATCACAGGGATGTCCAAAACTGTACATAGATGGGCCTTATGGTTGTGCTGCTCAAGACCATGTAAAGTATGACATTCTGGTACTAATTGGTCTTGGAATAGGAGCCACACCTTTCATTAGCATCCTGAAAGATGTAGTTAAAGGTGTCCAGACAACAGAAATTGATCATGTAAGTTTTTTTATCTGTGTTTATTCATGTAAGCATTTTCTTACTGTGATGATAATCTCTTCACCAAAATTCAATTGCTCTGCTTCTGTTTCTTTGAACAAATGCACACTTGGGCATTTGAAATAGAGTGGTCTCAGAAATTGCAGCTTAACGAAGGGTCCATTAAAAGCATATCTTTATTGGGTCACTAGAGAGCCAAATTCTTTTGACTGGTTTAGAGATGTCATGAAGGAAATCTCAAATTCAAACAAAAAGCAGGTATGCCTAACTGCAATTTTGTTTTGGCCATGGCATTTACATTATGCTCACTGTAGAAACTATATCTTTGATGCAATTTAAGATCTTGGAGAATTTTCTTACCAATCTAGTTTTCTAATAACCTTGAAGTCCGTTGTGGAGATGCACAATTTCCTGACCAGTGTACATCCAGAAGGAGATATTCGTTCAGCTTTGCTAAGTGTCATTCAGGCCTTGCATCTTGCCAAGAATGGCACTGACATAGTTTCCAGGACTCCTGTAAGTGCACTTCTCCTTAGTTTTGACCAATATATGTAGCCAAACTTTGTAAATTACAAGCAAGCTTTAAACTTGCTGGAGTGGCTTTAAAATGAAAAACACTCAAGATACTTTAGGTTTGATGCCTTCTGATTGAAGCTAGAATATGTTACTGACTTTTCGCGTATGTTAAGTTTGGCATATGAAGACAACTTTATTCAATTTGTCATTTCAAACAATCTTGTTATTAACCCTCTAACTTAAAATCGTTTGGAAGAATCTTGACATCTACTACCAAAAACTGAATAATTTGTGTCACATTCAGGCATGTCTTGCTATTGCTTCACTAAAAAACCGTTTCTCGGTGAAATTTTTCAGATACACACACATTTTGCTCGACCAAATTGGTTCAACATATTTTCTAGATTGGCTCGCAAGCATGGAGGAGCTAAGATTGGTGAGAAAAATATCCCTCGTCAGAATTACTAATTTTCTTTTTCTGAAACTTCATACTTGGTGTACATTCCCAACTTTGGGTATAGTTTAATCATTGAAATGGAAATTTAATTTGGAGGGTAAAGTTTTACCCAACTCTGTTCCAAAGAGGTTAGATTATTTTCCAAACTAAGAATGCTGGTTTTCTTGCGCAGGTGTTTTCTACTGTGGCCCATCTAAATTAGCAAAAGAATTGACGAAGTTGTGCACCAAATTTTCCACCAAAACCACAACTAGATTTGTTTTCCACAAGGAAAATTATTAAACTTGTTTCTGAAGGAATGACACCTGTCCTACCAATGCCTTGACTAGGTAAGCAGGGTTACCCTCAGAATCTCGGGCAGGTTCCTTTAATTTTGCCAGAGAATCTGTAAATACATTTGCTGCTCTGGTGCCTTCTACATACCAACTTGAAGGAGTGGTTCAGCAATTGAAGAATGAAAGAAAATACCTTAGTCCTCATTCATCGTTGTAAGTTGAGTATCTATCCATTACATTTCGGTTTTTCCTATAGACCTCAAGTAGTAAACCATACGTATAGGAGAAGTATAAATGATGAATAAATTTTACAAAAAGTATTACAACCATAGTTTGTAATTATCCGGTCTTTACTTGTAACATTAATCTATATCCCTTTTTCATTACAATCTCTCATATTTGTAAGCAGCAAACTTTTACCCAGAGCTAAAGTGACGAGTAACTAGTAATCATACAACCAACCATCAAACAAACTATTTCTCAACAAACTAGAACTTGTACATATTCTCTTGATTCATCTCTCATTAGGATGAGAACAAAGAGATCAAATCGACAAAAAACGACATCTTTTGTTTTTCTTCTGTTATACCTATTTCTTACTATGTTATTTTTGCTGTAATTCAATTGCTCCTCCAACCGTGACATAATTATTTATGGGGCGCTTTAAATCTTGTACACCACTTTACCATCAGTTCTTCAACACTAGCATCCATGCGGGTACCAACACCACCCCACACAAGCATGTGTCCAACATCTCCAATGGAGGACCCCGTTACCTCGTACACTGTTTTAAAACCAAGTCTACTGTAGAATCGAACCAACTGTGAAAACAGCATCAAATTCAACCCCCCCAGTCCATAACCATACATATCGAAATAAAGCCTATGTTATACAATAAAGGAAGAGAAAAAAGCCTACGAATCGATAATGTAAAGATTTCTTACAGCGATATTTAAAATAAATTTAGTGACTTTATATTAAAAAAAGTTAAAATCATACCAATTGAATAATAAGAGTGTAAAAGAAGTAGAAAATATCATTAAACTGGTAAATAAATGCGTAAAAGGCTTGACCTTTTGGATAAGGTTGGTGAGAAGAGAACCTTGGAATGGTAAAGATCGGAGTCATTGATGGCCAATAGCTGCGCTGTTTTGCAGCCAGAATCATAACCGTGTCGAATTGCAACGGCTCCAATGAACAGGCCAAGGCCAAAGATTGATTTCTCCATGCCCAGTGTTTCTCTCCGTAGTTTAATCGAGTCCAAGTGAAGGATTTTGCCATCTACCCAGAATCTTACGAACCCCTCGGCCCTTCCGAGCTCTGCGTCGGTTACCAAGCTCCGTGCTGTGATTCTGAAAAAGGGTCCCAGAGTTTTGAGGTGAAGGTCGAGTTTCTGCGCTCGCGACGCTTCTAGAATTTGGGACATGGTTGGCAGAGGTGCTTCGCCGGTAGCATTTGCGGTGGCGCGTGGGAACTTGGATTTTGGAAGGGAATTGAAGTTGAAGAGGGGAAATGCGTTGTGGCATAAATTCATGGTCATGTAAGCACTGAAGCCAATTCTGCTCCAACTTTCGCCAAATCCTACACTTCTTATTCACAAAATTCGGTAAAACCGTTTAAGAGCGTGGATGGAAATTTAGATTTTTTGTATTATTCTTCTACCGAGTATTCAGAATACAGTGATAAATATTGATTTTAATGTTTTAAAATATATTATATTTTTAGTATGACAACATTAGTGTATTTTGAAGACCTAGTACAGAGACAATATAAAAACTTAGTAGCAAATCTGAACTCTACCATTCTCATTCTCAGAGTGATGTATTATATTTATGTTAACACTTCAATAATATTGAACAATATATATAATTATTAGGTACCACTTGAGTGTTAATCTATCACTCTATTGATGTGAATACAAAAACACCACATTCTAGTTTCCAATAAGTAAATATGTCCAAAATCAATGCATGTACTATTTCTAAACTATCCCATAACATTAATTACACTCACAATAATTGATATATTATCTGTAAAACTCTATCACAAAATTACCATTATCTAACAATTATATATTATAATTAAATATTAAGTGACATACTTTAAAAACATAGTAATTCAATGTTTCATCCATTTCCTACAACTATATTATAAAGTTTTGCACTACTATCATTGAAAATAAAAATTCTCCTTGATCAAACCAACCAGTAGAAAACAATATTAAACTAATTGTATGGATTTGAAATCTTACACTGATTTAATGAGTTTATCGTGATCAATTATTTATGAAAAATGATATAAAAACAAATAATTTGACAACTTGAACTTCTAAAAAAATGTAAAAAACAAAAAGAACAATTTAGAATGTAAATAATAAAATATAATAGAATACTAGGTATGGATGACTGTATTAATCCTTAGAATGATTTTTGGTGTTCTCACACACTTGTGTATCTAAATTAGATAGAATTTCTTATATTCACTGAAACTTGTTTTCTTTTGTTGTAAATTTGTGTGATTTTTCTCATTTAATGATTAATAATGACGAGGATGTACCTAATTAAACTATAGATGATTGATGTGCTTCCTCAAAAAGTTGCAAAACAAAAGATCTTTTGGTATATAATGTGAAGATTAGAGAAACTTGAATTGGTTGGATGCAACTAAAACTTTGATTATTTGAANTTAAGATCTTGGAGAATTTTCTTACCAATCTAGTTTTCTAATAACCTTGAAGTCCGTTGTGGAGATGCACAATTTCCTGACCAGTGTACATCCAGAAGGAGATATTCGTTCAGCTTTGCTAAGTGTCATTCAGGCCTTGCATCTTGCCAAGAATGGCACTGACATAGTTTCCAGGACTCCTGTAAGTGCACTTCTCCTTAGTTTTGACCAATATATGTAGCCAAACTTTGTAAATTACAAGCAAGCTTTAAACTTGCTGGAGTGGCTTTAAAATGAAAAACACTCAAGATACTTTAGGTTTGATGCCTTCTGATTGAAGCTAGAATATGTTACTGACTTTTCGCGTATGTTAAGTTTGGCATATGAAGACAACTTTATTCAATTTGTCATTTCAAACAATCTTGTTATTAACCCTCTAACTTAAAATCGTTTGGAAGAATCTTGACATCTACTACCAAAAACTGAATAATTTGTGTCACATTCAGGCATGTCTTGCTATTGCTTCACTAAAAAACCGTTTCTCGGTGAAATTTTTCAGATACACACACATTTTGCTCGACCAAATTGGTTCAACATATTTTCTAGATTGGCTCGCAAGCATGGAGGAGCTAAGATTGGTGAGAAAAATATCCCTCGTCAGAATTACTAATTTTCTTTTTCTGAAACTTCATACTTGGTGTACATTCCCAACTTTGGGTATAGTTTAATCATTGAAATGGAAATTTAATTTGGAGGGTAAAGTTTTACCCAACTCTGTTCCAAAGAGGTTAGATTATTTTCCAAACTAAGAATGCTGGTTTTCTTGCGCAGGTGTTTTCTACTGTGGCCCATCTAAATTAGCAAAAGAATTGACGAAGTTGTGCACCAAATTTTCCACCAAAACCACAACTAGATTTGTTTTCCACAAGGAAAATTATTAAACTTGTTTCTGAAGGAATGACACCTGTCCTACCAATGCCTTGACTAGGTAAGCAGGGTTACCCTCAGAATCTCGGGCAGGTTCCTTTAATTTTGCCAGAGAATCTGTAAATACATTTGCTGCTCTGGTGCCTTCTACATACCAACTTGAAGGAGTGGTTCAGCAATTGAAGAATGAAAGAAAATACCTTAGTCCTCATTCATCGTTGTAAGTTGAGTATCTATCCATTACATTTCGGTTTTTCCTATAGACCTCAAGTAGTAAACCATACGTATAGGAGAAGTATAAATGATGAATAAATTTTACAAAAAGTATTACAACCATAGTTTGTAATTATCCGGTCTTTACTTGTAACATTAATCTATATCCCTTTTTCATTACAATCTCTCATATTTGTAAGCAGCAAACTTTTACCCAGAGCTAAAGTGACGAGTAACTAGTAATCATACAACCAACCATCAAACAAACTATTTCTCAACAAACTAGAACTTGTACATATTCTCTTGATTCATCTCTCATTAGGATGAGAACAAAGAGATCAAATCGACAAAAAACGACATCTTTTGTTTTTCTTCTGTTATACCTATTTCTTACTATGTTATTTTTGCTGTAATTCAATTGCTCCTCCAACCGTGACATAATTATTTATGGGGCGCTTTAAATCTTGTACACCACTTTACCATCAGTTCTTCAACACTAGCATCCATGCGGGTACCAACACCACCCCACACAAGCATGTGTCCAACATCTCCAATGGAGGACCCCGTTACCTCGTACACTGCTTTAAAACCAAGTCTACTGTAGAATCGAACCAACTGTGAAAACAGCATCAAATTCAACCCCCCCAGTCCATAACCATACATATCGAAATAAAGCCTATGTTATACAATAAAGGAAGAGAAAAAAGCCTACGAATCGATAATGTAAAGATTTCTTACAGCGATATTTAAAATAAATTTAGTGACTTTATATTAAAAAAAGTTAAAATCATACCAATTGAATAATAAGAGTGTAAAAGAAGTAGAAAATATCATTAAACTGGTAAATAAATGCGTAAAAGGCTTGACCTTTTGGATAAGGTTGGTGAGAAGAGAACCTTGGAATGGTAAAGATCGGAGTCATTGATGGCCAATAGCTGCGCTGTTTTGCAGCCAGAATCATAACCGTGTCGAATTGCAACGGCTCCAATGAACAGGCCAAGGCCAAAGATTGATTTCTCCATGCCCAGTGTTTCTCTCCGTAGTTTAATCGAGTCCAAGTGAAGGATTTTGCCATCTACCCAGAATCTTACGAACCCCTCGGCCCTTCCGAGCTCTGCGTCGGTTACCAAGCTCCGTGCTGTGATTCTGAAAAAGGGTCCCAGAGTTTTGAGGTGAAGGTCGAGTTTCTGCGCTCGCGACGCTTCTAGAATTTGGGACATGGTTGGCAGAGGTGCTTCGCCGGTAGCATTTGCGGTGGCGCGTGGGAACTTGGATTTTGGAAGGGAATTGAAGTTGAAGAGGGGAAATGCGTTGTGGCATAAATTCATGGTCATGTAAGCACTGAAGCCAATTCTGCTCCAACTTTCGCCGAATCCTACACTTCTTATTCACAAAATTCGGTAAAACCGTTTAAGAGCGTGGATGGAAATTTAGATTTTTTGTATTATTCTTCTACCGAGTATTCAGAATACAGTGATAAATATTGATTTTAATGTTTTAAAATATATTATATTTTTAGTATGACAACATTAGTGTATTTTGAAGACCTAGTACAGAGACAATATAAAAACTTAGTAGCAAATCTGAACTCTACCATTCTCATTCTCAGAGTGATGTATTATATTTATGTTAACACTTCAATAATATTGAACAATATATATAATTATTAGGTACCACTTGAGTGTTAATCTATCACTCCATTGATGTGAATACAAAAACACCACATTCTAGTTTCCAATAAGTAAATATGCCCAAAATCAATGCATGTACTATTTCTAAACTATCCCATAACATTAATTACACTCACAATAATTGATATATTATCTGTAAAACTCTATCACAAAATTACCATTATCTAACAATTATATATTATAATTAAATATTAAGTGACATACTTTAAAAACATAGTAATTCAATGTTTCATCCATTTCCTACAACTATATTATAAAGTTTTGCACTACTATCATTGAAAATAAAAATTCTCCTTGATCAAACCAACCAGTAGAAAACAATATTAAACTAATTGTATGGATTTGAAATCTTACACTGATTTAATGAGTTTATCGTGATCAATTATTTATGAAAAATGATATAAAAACAAATAATTTGACAACTTGAACTTCTAAAAAAATGTAAAAAACAAAAAGAACAATTTAGAATGTAAATAATAAAATATAATAGAATACTAGGTATGGATGACTGTATTAATCCTTAGAATGATTTTTGGTGTTCTCACACACTTGTGTATCTAAATTAGATAGAATTTCTTATATTCACTGAAACTTGTTTTCTTTTGTTGTAAATTTGTGTGATTTTTCTCATTTAATGATTAATAATGACGAGGATGTACCTAATTAAACTATAGATGATTGATGTGCTTCCTCAAAAAGTTGCAAAACAAAAGATCTTTTGGTATATAATGTGAAGATTAGAGAAACTTGAATTGGTTGGATGCAACTAAAACTTTGATTATTTGAAAGTTGTTATATGTATGTTTACCTATTGATTTCAAGATTAAAAAAAACACACACACTAGGATTGAATTTTTGTGTGGTAATAATGTTGAATTTTTCTCTGATTTGTTCTTTGGTTATTCTATTGCTATATGGTTGTCGACATGATTGAATGAAACTTTTCAAAAAATTTGTAATTTTTTTCTTTGGATTTGGTTGTTCAGTTTATGAAGTATCTTTGTAATCCTTTACTTAAAGTGATTAAAGTGGTTGTCATTACGGCAATTATTTGGATGATTTGGAGGATGAAAGATCATAGTAGATTTCAAGATCCAATTGTTATTTCTTTTACCATTTTAAAATTAAAGAGTTATCACGTATGACTGAAAATAAATCTAAAAAGCATGAGTAATATTGTCTTTGACTTTTTGATACTGAAATTTTTCAATATTTAAACTGGAAACGTAGAGTTCTTTCAATCTATTTTGACATTTTTAATTGAGATATGGAAGTTCTTTATATTTAATTTCATTAAAAAATAATACAAAATATAATAACTTTTCTATAAATATTTTTCTTAGTCTATAAAAGTCTGTAATATAAGCATTATCTCAAGTAAAAAAAAAAGTTGTTATCTCCTTACTCATTCATACATCACATCGATACGAGATTACATTACACATAGTGGCATCGATACATAATAAACCATGTATTATTTATAATATAATAATGATTTTAATCCTAAATATCAGGGTAATTTTTAGAGCTGTCAAAACGGGTCATCCGGCCCGACTTGGCCCGGCCCACCACGGGTTGGTCACTTAGTGAGCCAACCCAACCCGCTCATTTATTAGCGAGCCAGAAAAATTCGAACCCGGCCCGACTCATCACGGGTTGGTGGGTAAACGGGTTGACTCACTGGCTCACTTAATTACAATGTTTTTAAATAAATAAAAAATTACAAACTTTCTATAATTCAAATCTAAACAAATTTCACTCCGAGTGTTTAATTAATTTTGAAAATAAGGAACTTAAATAATTTTTTCAAGCAAAAATAAAATAATAAATATTTTTTTATAAAACTAAAATTAAATTTTAATAAAATAAAATTAGGTAGGTGGGTTGGTGGGTCAACCCGGTCCACCAGGGGTTCAACCCGCATGAGCTGGATTTAAATGAGCCGGGTTGAAATCTGACCCGCATAAAAACAATACAATTTTTTCAAACTCAACTCGACTCAAACTGTTGTGACCCATTTTGACAGCTCTAATAATTTTTTAGGTTTTGATTTCCAAATTAAAAAATATATTTTATTGTCAAAAGTGAAAAAAGTAACTTTAGCCTACAATAAAATGTTTTTTTCTTAACAAAGACAACAACTTTTTTACCTGTTATCGAATTATAACTCCTTTTAATAATAACATATAAATTCAATTATTCAATTATAATAAAATATTGTATATTAGCCGTACAAAATTGTACTCTTGTCAACCTATCATCATTAACTTTTTTTTTAATTATATGCCAAAAAAATTAATTTATTATCTAATATATTGTTCTCACTTACCCTCCTTTGTCAAAAAGGTTCTTAAAACAATGATGTAAGTTAAAAGGCATTAACGAAAACAAACTTAATTGCGTTGTCAAAAGACATAACAACTTGAGTATCATAGAAAAATATGATATAAAAACACAAACACAGAAATAAGATGTATGTAAAAATAAAATATTACGAAGATAAAAAATACTCAAATGTACCTTGATACATAAAATCTATGCTTATATAAAGGTATTTTTTTGTTTTTTACATTTATTTTCAATTTTACTTTTAAATTATCTTTTATTATTCTTTAAGTAATTATCTTTTAAAATTTAATATTTTTTTCGATTTCGAATTATTTTAAAGTTAACCATTTACAAAATAAAATAAATTTATTTATAATAAAATTTTAAAATTTATTTATATTTAATTTTAGAATTAAAATAATAATAATTTTTTTATTTTTTATTATCATCAATGAAAGTGAATACACAGCGTGTTTTTACTAGTATTAAATTAGTTAGATAAAAAATGTAATAAATAAAATATTATATTAGTTTTAGATTATTATTTTAAATGGTTTGATAATTTTTATAATATTCAATTTAATAATGGAATAGGATGCATTGGAAATATTAGATATTTTAAAAAAGTAGTATATCATATTCAATATTCTTACAACAGATAGATCACATTTACTAATTTAGATAAAAAGTGTAAATTAAAATAAAGAAAAAGTTATATAAAGATTAGAATACTTCTATTAATAAGAATATTTTTAGGTGTTATTCTTCCATAAAGATAGATATACATGATATCATAATTTAAATACAATTTTATATTTAAGAAAATGTTCACTACAAATTACAATCATAATATAACTTGTATATTTAAAAAAGATTTATTTGTTATACATATTAATGATACAAAACAAAGCAAAAAAATAAATAATATAGTTACACGTAAAAGAAAATAGTATGATAAGATAAGAGATAAATCATCGTATCTTTAAAAATTTAAACTAAAATGATACAGAAATGAAGTGCGTAACCATGTATATATAATAGATGCACTTTTTCCTGTTCTATAGAAGACTTGGTGTGTTTTATTGGTTTTAGCTGAAGACACAAAACCGGAACCCTAACAAGCATCAATGGCGTCTTCGTCGTCGCTGGCGAAGCGATGCCATTACGAAGTGCTCGATCTCCCCCAAGACTGTGCTCCCGAGGAGATTCGCTCCTCCTACCGCCGCCTTGCCCTTCAGCGCCACCCGGACAAGCTCATAAAATCGGGTATCTCCCAAGAGGAAGCCACCGCGCAGTTCCAGGAACTCCAACACGCATACGAAGTTCTCTCCGACCCCAAGGAACGCGCTTGGTACGATTCCCACCGTTCCCAAATCCTCTTCTCCGACCCTAATTCCCTCTCCAAATCGGTCGTCCCCGACCTCTTCTCCTTCTTCTCCAACACCGTCTATTCCGGCTACTCTGACACCGGAAAGGGCTTTTATAAAGTTTATTCTGATGTTTTCGATAAAATCCACGCCAACGAGATCAATTTCGCGCGGAAAATGGGGCTCGGAGTTGAGGCTGTTCGACAGGCTCCTCTAATGGGGAACTTGGATAGCCCCTACGCGCAGGTCACTGCGTTTTATGGATATTGGTTAGGGTTTTGTACTGTGATGGACTTTTTTTGGGTGGATGAGTATGATGTTATGGCAGGGCCGAACCGGAAGTCGCGGCGGCTTATGGAGGAGGAGAATAATAAGGCTAGGAAGAAGGCGAGAAGGGAGTATAATGATACTGTGAGGAGGTTGGGGGATTTTGTGAAGAAGAGGGATAAGAGGGTGATTGATATGAGGGTGAAGAAGAATATGGAGATGGAGAGGAAGAAGGAAGAAGAGAGGGAGACAAAGAAGAGGTTGGAGAAGGAGAGGAAGGAGAGGGCCATGGCGTATGAGGAGGCTGATTGGGCTAAGGTTGATAATGAGGAGGAGGTAGAGGAATGGGTCGAGGAGGGGGAGGAGGAGAAGAAGAAGAATGATAAGGAGTTTTATTGTGTGTTGTGTGGGAAGAAGTTTAAGAGTGAGAAGCAGTGGAAAAATCATGAGCAGTCCAAGAAGCATAAGGAGAGGGTTGCGGAGTTCAGGGATTCCATTGGTGATGAGCAGGATTTGGAAGAAGGAAAGGAGGGACTGGGAAGTGAGGAAGATGGGGTTGGGGTGGATGGTGATGGTGGTTATGGGGTTGGTGATTTGGAAGCGAGGATTCGGGATGATCTTAATGTTGAAGACGGGGTAATTAGAAACGGGGTTGAACCGGATGATGATGATGATTGCGGTGGTGATGAGTTTTCCGATGCTTCGCATGCGAAGGAGGGGGAAGATTCCAATGGGTTGGTTAATCTTGATGATAGTGGCAATCAAGACGGTGATAACGATGACAATGGTGTTGTTGATGAGTTTTCCGATGCTTCGCTTGCGAAGGAGGGGGAAGATTCCAATGGGTCGGTTAATCTTGATGATGGTGGCAATCAAGACGGTGATAACGATGAAAATGGTGTTCTTGAAGCAATGGTGGCTGGCCACAAGAACAGAAAGCCACGAGCTTCAACCCACAAATCCAAGGCTTCAATAGTTCCATCTCAAATTGAAACTGAGAAGGATGAATCTGGCCCTATGGAGTACAACAACCGGAAGCCCACAAGAAAGAAACGTAGAGCTAAGAAAGAGAAGGGTAGGGAAAATTGGGAAGAATCTCAGGGGACTGCTTCCAGTTGCAATGATGAGAACATAAACGGTAATGGAAATGACAATGCTCACGGAGAGGAGTCTTCTTCCCAACATTTTACGGAAAATGGGGATAACATTATTGGGAATGAGCAGGTTAGTAGAGGTAATAAGATTTCAAACCAACCCGCTGATAAAAAGGGAGCTGGCAAGGACACAAAAATCACAGCCAAAATTTCATCCAAAGGAAGAAAAGCAAAGGTAAGAACTTCGGAATATACCTGCTCTGTTCTCCATGCCTCATAAGTTGTGAAGTTCGGACTCCTCTCTCAAATGGTGTGTTGTGGTGTCCAATTCAAAAGACATTTTTTTTGTCTTTGATATAATTTTGACACCCTTCAACATAACATTGATAATGACAAATATAATGTCTTAAATGAATTATATTCTCTTTTCAGTTTTTTTAAGGTTGGATAAATGGAGTATATTCTTTATCATGTGACAATATGTTTAAATTATTATATTGTTTATAAATGATTTTGAATATCTTAATATTGATTGTTAATTTATATTATTTAAAATTCATGAGAATCTAATATATAGATACTGGTTCCCATATCCTACATTTTAAAGATTACTTGGGTAAGAAGTGTCTGAGTATCTGTAGTATTTGTGCTACATAGGTCATAAGACTTGTTGCTGCAACTGCTGTCACTCTAACTTTTGTTTTAGTAATTTCCTGAACTCCAAACCTGTATTCGTCTTCCGATAGTTTTTACGTTTTAAAGGTAGATTTTCTAGGTAGGTTAAATTGGTCTTCAGTTACCGTAATACAGTAGAATGCTGCGAAATGGAGTGGGGTGGGGGGGCGGGGGTCAAATTCCCTCCTCGCCCAGGTTTGGCTTCCCCCAAAATCGAGGAGAGTTGAATGAGAGTGGGTTTTACATTAATTATCTTAAATTCAATAGTTTTATTTGACTGTTCTAAGCTCTAACTATATAATAAAGAATTTGCTTATCTCTGCTTCACTTCATTCACCTCCACCACTACATAGTGCTCCCTGTCCCTTCTTATGTTTCAACCCAACAGAACTTTTAGAAGGACCACACACACTTAGCCATGTTGTTCTGATCGATTAGCGAGCAATACCTGGTCGTAGTTTGTTGATATGACAAATCTCGGTTGTTCACTTTTCCAATTTTTTTCATGTTTATTCTGTGTTATAGTTTTTATGTAGAGGCACTTTCTATTGTTTTGTAATGTTTTCTGGCCTTGCCTTACTATCAAGTTGCTTTTTGTGCTTCATAAACCTGATTGTGATTTTGTTTCTTGAATAAGGTGACATCGAAAAACATTGGTAATACTTGTGATGCGTGTGGAGAGGAGTTTGAGTCAAGGTAATCTTATGCCTCTCTTCTTTATCAAAATAAAATTTCATATTGTTCTAATAATAAATCTTGCCTCATACTAAACTGTTGCATAACTTCGTTTGATTTGCTACGCAGAAATAAATTACATAAACATCTTGGCGATTCTGGGCATGCGACAATAATAAGAGGTCGATAAAGGAAACTGCAGTTGGAAGTATTCAATTCAAGCGCGTCCCCGAGTATAATTCCATTTGGAGAAGCAAAAGATATTGGTCCATTCTTTAATTCTTAATAGTGTTTAAGAATTTTTGTGTAATCCTTCGGCAGAATGCATTCTGTTATTTATGTCATAGTTGAGAGATCCATGGATCTCTTAGTATGTCAATTTTTTTAGTTTTATGTCTCGAGCAGAGAAGTGTTTAAACGAATTAGTGTGATGATTATAGTAAAAGAAAATCTTGATTTATTGTAGATGATCATTTTAATCTTTTAAGGTATTCACCCAAAGTTTAGAAGTCTCAACGGATCTTGAATTCAGCTAACAATCTCTTGTAAACACTTTATTATGAGGTTGATCTAATTATGCATTTTAGAGATAATGAAGTGTCTACGGTCAATTCTTTTACGCATTTTCGCATCAAGTATTTTGTAAAGTGATAAATAAATCTCCTTAGAATGGTTAGTAACCGCTTTGTACCATCCCGCGCCTATACATCTTATGTCTTTTCTCGTCGTCAAGTATCTTTTTTTCGTCCTAAAATATACTTACTTTGCTCATTCCTATCCAAAGTAGCACTCCATTCGATTACTCAAACATTTACCTGTTCAATAAAGTAAATTGAAGGACAAAGTTTTAACAATGCCGAAGGGAGCAGATGGGAAATCGATAAGGTGTTTAGGACAATATTGCTCGAAAGAGGTTTTTCCTTTTGGGTTTTGGATTTTGAAATTTGACCAATTGCTATCTAATTTTTACACAGTTTGAAGAAAGGTTTGTCTAAGCTCTAAAAGTTTATATAAAACATGGTAAAAGTTGTCAAATTTCAAAATATCGAGACAAACTAAGTATGCACATTTGCTTTTCTTTGGAGTGACCTGCAACAATTCAGGGATATTCCGAATTAGTTTCCCTTTTAAATCTGCATAGGATTGGTGGTTGCCAGAAAACCATTGATTCCATTCAAAAAATAGAAAAGTACAATAAAAATTATCTTTGAAAATGCATGGGAAAAAGTCCATAGGATTTTCGGATAAAAAAAGGTGAGGATGGTAAGCATGGAATTTGACGTCTTTGAAAAGAAAAGCCGATATTAGAACATCCCAGGTAAGGTATTTGATCCATTAATGTGTCGACGAATCCAATACATTACCTGCTTCAGAAAGAAAAGTAACCATGGGCTGATATCATCTTCCATCTCAACATCATGGGGAAAGCAATAAGATTATATGTATTCCCTATAGGCTTTAATGTAGTGATTGCAGCAAATTTTTCGAGACTCTTCCTCCAAGTCAGGAACATGAGCAAGCAAATGTCTATCCTTTCCATCGAAGGCAGACTGAAAGGAGACACAAATGCAGGAAATCAATGGGAGAATGCACAATAAAGCAAGAGATTCCGGAAGCATAGGAGTTTTTGTCTATAAATATCAATACCACTCTGTGTTCACTCGTTAGAATGGCAAGAGTCGTGAAAAGTTAGTGAAGTCATTATAAACGTTGTGGACACTCAGAAGGAAAGTCGTTATGGAGTCGAAAGCTAATAGGGACATGTTAATCGAAATCAATAGAAGGTCAAGTTTTATGAAATCAGCGGAAGATAAAAAGGCACAACACATTATATTTTATATAATATTTTATAAGGATGGTGTAAGTGAACAAGATAAAAAAAAAGGCCTATAACGAATTAGAACTTCAATTGAAGAAAGGATAATTGAAGCAAATTGAAAAAAACAACAAAGCAACAAACACTATGAAGACATAAGCCATATTAATAGCTTAAGTTGTATGGATTCTAAAAACTTTTTAAGGTAGTTGTTAAATCAGTTATAGAAGGATATGAGAGTAACTTGTTCAAATTTCAAATTCAAAATCTTGTAAGTGTCTAAGGAAAGGTATAAAATATAAAAGTTAAATACTATTTTCGTTCCTATTTTTATGGACTTTCTTTAACATGAGAGGGATTCATTTTTTTAATGTACAATATAATCGATGTTTTGGTAAATTATCTTTGATTTGGTCTTTTTTTCATTGCGTTGTTTAAATTGTTAATTGAAGATTATCAGTTTATACCAAGTGTCAGTTCGTGATTTTTAAAATTTTTTAATTTAAAAAAAATTGTTTACATATCAAGTTAATATTGTACCACATGGCTATGTAAGTGTCACGTGTCAAGTCAATGTTAATGTTACGTGTTAAGTTTGTATCAGTGTTAGTATGTCATGTGTGAATGTCTTATATTTAATTTAGTTTCAATTTTTGTTAATTTTGTTCAATGTTTGTTAATTTTATTTAATTCAATCTTAATTTTGGTTTTCTAAATTGAAACCAAATTTATTTTTTCATCGAAATTCAGTTTTTTATTTTTTTCTTATTTTTAAATTAACTCTAACTATATTATTGGAATATAATGATTAGATTTATGAGATTTTTCTATATGTAAAAAATACAATGAGAGTTGAATTAAAAATAATGAATAATTTTTCTTCTAATTTTGAAAATGATAAACGACTTTTCTTCCCATTCTAGAAATAAATTAGAATTTTCCTTCTAATTTTAAAAACAATGGAGAATTTTTCTTACAAAGAATTTTTCTTTTAGTTTAAAAAATAATGAAAAAATTTTCTTCTAATTTTAAAAATAATGAGGAATTTTCCTTTTAATTTTATAAATAATGAAGAATTTTCTTTTAATTTTTAAAATATTAAAAAAAATCATATAATTTAAAAAGTGATTAAGAATTTTCCTTCTAAAATTTAAAATTAAAACTGAATTTAACAAAATTAATAAAAGTTAAATTAAGACGAAATTGAATACTAACACCAACACATATGCAGTCATACTAATTAACACATAAAACTAATACTATCATGTGACACAGTATTTACTTGGCACGTAGACAACATTTTTTAAATTAAAAAATACTTTAATAAAAGTTAAAATAAATAAAAAACCACAAATTAACATATAACACATTTCATCTTTCACTAATTTAGATGATGTCATAAAAAAACAAATTGAACATAATTTACTAAAATAAGGGTTACATTAAACAAAAAAAAATCTAAATCTCACAGTAAATAAAATTGACAAAAATAAAGACTAAAAAATATTTAAATCAAATTATAAATAAATTTATTTGGTACTTTACAAAAATGATAAATTGTGTAACAATACATGAAAAACACCTCTAACAAAAAAATGACTTATACAAGGTTGATGGTTACAATTTGAATCACTACTATCGTTAGTTAAATTTGAAAGTTCTTTGACATCACTTGGTAAGTTATTTTTTCTACACGTTACATTTGTTTGCATTGTTTTTGTTGCTAAAACCCAAAAAGACACATACGGATGTTTGGACAACATCAATTCACAACATAAACAACTTCTACATTAAATTTCTCTTATGTGTAAAGGGTTAAAGAACAATACCCTAATTGAAAAAATAGTGCTTTTAGCCCTATCAAGAAAGAATATACATAAAGTTGATTTACTTCGAGAGAAATCGAAAGTACGAACCGTCAGAACTAAATCCTCGAAAAACAGTTGGGTCAGGATCAATATTCAACATTTAAAGAATTTTTTGGCTTTAAACAATGTTAACTTTGAGTTAGATTATTTAGGACCCCAGCTTTTTCCTGGAACACTAGAGTCGTTAGATTTAATCTAGAATATGGTTAGAATAAAAAGCAGTACACAATAACAAATATACATGCAATGCAGACACCAGCATGGTTGCAAATTAAACGGTAGTTGACGAACGAAAATACGATAAAATGCAGAATCTTGAAGCACTGAATGTGAGGGTTGAGTTATCCAATATCTATAAGGGAATACTTTTTCTGTACAAGTTTACGCCTAAAGTAATCACAACGATTTAGCAGCACCTTCTATATAAGCAATGGCCTCCGCCTCCGAAAGTTGTTCTCCCTCTACCAACCCTTTAATTAAGGAGTTGGCATACGCTTTATTAGGGGCACGTAATGGTAGCTTCCCAGATTTGAAACGTTCCATATCAAGAAGCGAAGACCTGGATAAAGTATCATAAATGTCAATGCTAATACAACAACTTTGTTACCCAAATGCACAAATACAAATTATAATTTGTTACTCACGTCATGGTAATCACAGGAATATCTTGCTCCTTTCCTAAGTAGACAACATTACCATACCAAGCACCCTGCCCAACATTAAAAAAAAAGGTCATGAGCAGACGCTGGAACTAAAGAATAAAATAAATGCATTAATTATTATCAGAAAAATGAGCGGGGATAAGGGATACATACCTTGACAACCTCCAGGGAGTTGAACTCCTTGTCAGAGATAGCATTCAAGGTAGTTATATCAACTAAAGGAGAGCCCGCATCAAGGCTTAAAATGTTCTCCTGAAATAAAATATCATTGAACTGCTCTAGCCTGTAACAAATGTGAACGCGAATCTAAAGTCAAGGCCTCCATTGGATACATAAGAAAGCCCCCAGGAAATGATTCAACAATGTCGCCTCTAACAGGAAAGCTTTGAAAGAGACAGATTTGAACTATAGATTTACTTACGAAATTTTGTACAAGCACATGTAGGTCTTGCCTTCAAACTTTTTTTCAGGATTAAGAAATGCAACGCCTCCCAGTCCCCATGAATGCGATGAATCACGACCAAAGAATATATCACAAGGGAAAGTCTTCCACGTGATCTCCTTTGGCAGAGTTCTGTTCACTGAACCAGAACACTGCTTCACCATACCATCCACCTGAAAATCAGTCCTAAATTCTTCAAAAAGTAATATAACAGACAACAAAAGAAATCAAGCTACAGAAAAAAGAAAAAACGGAAGTAAAAAATGAAAAGGTTTCAAATTCCTCATAAAATGAATAATCAATACATCTATTGATCAACCTATAGCCAGAAAGGACGACATTTAATATTGTCACATAAGAGAAGTTCACTCTTTATCGTAAAAATACAATGACCTGCAACAAAGTATAATATATAATTTTTTCAATCAAAGAAAAATTCCACGGCTAATCTACCCTTCCTTTGACAAATGTTTGAGAGCATTATGAAAAAAAGTGGCAAAAGCTAATAAAAAAGAATAACTTTTAAATATCATAAATGCTGATGGAAAAATTGAAATGAATAACTTATAAATATGATCATCTGATTCAAAATTGTATTATTGCTTATCAGTTTATATATATATATATATATATATATTCATGCATGCTTGTTTTGGTGTTTGACTGTAGGGATACTTTTTAACTTTCATAAAACAAAGGTGGGTGCCTCATAAATTGGGAGTTTTGTAACCGAGTTTCAATCCCTATATAAAAAAAGAGCAATATCACTTGAATGTTGTGTTACCTGTCCACCTTCTAGGTAGCAATTAAATCTTGCTTTCCACATATTTGATCCATACGAGGCATACCATATATAAACATTTGATAATGCAGATCGCCAAGTACTAGAAACATGAATCTCCTCATCTGCAAAAACGCATAACTTGTCAAGTAATGAATACATGAAGAAAGGTCATGTACCACACCCTTTTGCCAATGAATTGCACCAACTCCAGTGGATCCAAACAAACTTCAGAGGACCAAAATCTAGAAGTCTAATGAAACGCATCAACGGCCAAACTTAAGGAGATAACATTATATTTTGCAAAAAGGAAAATATTAATACTTTCGAGATGTTTCTCCAACTATATATATAAAAAAACATCTAGGATCAAGGTTACCAGCATCCACTTTCAGTTTGGACAGTGGTTTTAAGACATCCTCAATAAGGTCTCCAAGATTTCCTGAAATTGGTGCACCCTTATCATCCTCATCTTCAGAGTCCGAGCTTGAAATCAGAGTATGCTTGCAAAGGGGAAAGAACAGAAAAAATATTTAATGAGTACTTGCCGATAAAAAGGAACGAAAACAAGATAGATAAACAGAAATGAACACAAGAAAGATGTACAAAATGGAAGATTTGAAAATAAAGCCCAACCTTGCTATAATTGTAACTCTGCCCCCATGTTTTCATTTTTATCGGAAACACTGAAAAATTCTTTATTTTGTTTTCTATTTTCAGTGGATTTTTAAGATTTTTTTTTCTAAAATGTACCTAAACATATTTTATGAAAACAAAACAAAAGGTGCTCAAAATAAAGGGACCAAACCCATTAGTAGAACATCAAAGTCCCTTTTTCGACCCAAATCATCTGATTATTTTGTGAACCATTGAGAGAAATTAGTTGAGCATTCAGCTCAATTCTCACATGACAACTCCATGAAAACAGTAATGGAAACTACATTACCGGAGAGGGGCCTATTTGTGAGACTAACTCTTGTGGTAGTTTAGGTGCAAGTGTAGGCCAAAATGGACTTAACATCTCGCGAACCTGCAAAATATGCATGCCATTTTAGTACTAAATTAAGGAATTTCATGCATAAATGCCATGTGTATGGTAGGAAAGAAATAGATAACCTTACACCCTCTCTCTGCCCAGGAGAGAGAAAATTAAGTTAATTTTATATCCGTAAGAGGGAAAGGACATACATCAGTATAACAAGTTCTTACCGCTTGAATCACATTCCATGTAGACTCAAATGGATAGTCCTTTGAGGATTCGGCAACAGACTTGCCAGTTAGCAAAACTTCCAAGCAAGCATGCATTGATTTTGCAATGGAATCAAGATAATACCCCCCTTCTAAAATCAGTACAATCCTACCTTTAGCAAAATTCATCAACTGAAATAAAGGAAAACAGTTCTGTTACTGGTATTTGAACTTTTACATTTTTTTCAAAATTTAAAATTAGTGAGAAGTAAAATATTAAAAACAAAAGGTAGCATAAATAAAAATAGTATAGTGATAATGATGGAAAATAAATTAAGCCTACATATTTAATTCAGTTGTGTTAATAGCTAACTTTTCTTCAAATATAGCAGTTTTGATTTATCAAGTAACATACTAGCATTACAATAAACAGTACGAAGGAAGCGATCGCTAAAATTCAATCTTAAAGTAACCTTCTCCAACAGAACAGAATAACCAACTGCTGTGACACGACATCCTCCTAGAGGGTCACCGACAGCTGTGACAAAGAAGTGAATAATTATTACTTGTTACAGTTAAAAATAATAAATTAACATATCAACTGACCCAAATCCACTTCCTTCTTGCAAAACAGGTAAACTAGACTTCAAGTACAAATGCTAGCTAGCAATGCTCCAAAGCCATGGGAAGAACTAGTGATACCCTCTCCTCCCACACAGATAACAGAAAAACCCAAACGTCACAATAACATACCTGCATCAAATCCAGCAGAAACTATAACTATGTCTGGATTAAATTCTTTGGCAACAGGAAGCAAGATGTGGTCCCACACTGCAATGTAATCTGGATCACCACATTTCCCCTGCTCCCAGGGGACATTTATATTATATCCAGCACCTTCTCCTTCTCCCACCTGAGTATAAAACCCGTGGTGCTCAGCAGGATAAAAAGCCCCAAAGTCATACCTGTATGAATAGAAAAGTTTAGTTGATTGAAGATAAACTATGAAATTTATACAAAGTTCATCTGAAGTCCTTAAAGCAATAGTCCTCGTCAGAGGTCCAAAAACTAGTAAAAGAAGGGTAAATGATCTAGCAGTCAAGCCCATTACATAACCTAACACAACCATGAGCAACAAACTTTTACCTTCCCTGATGTACTAAGAAACAATTACAAGATCAACAACCAGTAAAACTGACCAGAAAATATGTGAAAATAATTAACACACCTGTGAACGGAGAAGAATAAAACTCGAGAGTCATTCCAGAACGTTTTTTGAGTACCATTTCCATGATGGACATCCCAATCAACAATTAAAATTTTCTTCACACCTAAATCAGGCTGTCGCACACAGAAAAATAAAGGTGGCAATAAAGTATAACAGACAACTATAGGCTAGAAATTCTTAGTAAAATTGGAATTGGTAGTAGGTGCAATGTAACTCACTCTTTCGTCTAAGAGATATCTTGCAGCAACTGCCACATTGTTGANAAGGGATACATACCTTGACAACCTCCAGGGAGTTGAACTCCTTGTCAGAGATAGCATTCAAGGTAGTTATATCAACTAAAGGAGAGCCCGCATCAAGGCTTAAAATGTTCTCCTGAAATAAAATATCATTGAACTGCTCTAGCCTGTAACAAATGTGAACGCGAATCTAAAGTCAAGGCCTCCATTGGATACATAAGAAAGCCCCCAGGAAATGATTCAACAATGTCGCCTCTAACAGGAAAGCTTTGAAAGAGACAGATTTGAACTATAGATTTACTTACGAAATTTTGTACAAGCACATGTAGGTCTTGCCTTCAAACTTTTTTTCAGGATTAAGAAATGCAACGCCTCCCAGTCCCCATGAATGCGATGAATCACGACCAAAGAATATATCACAAGGGAAAGTCTTCCACGTGATCTCCTTTGGCAGAGTTCTGTTCACTGAACCAGAACACTGCTTCACCATACCATCCACCTGAAAATCAGTCCTAAATTCTTCAAAAAGTAATATAACAGACAACAAAAGAAATCAAGCTACAGAAAAAAGAAAAAACGGAAGTAAAAAATGAAAAGGTTTCAAATTCCTCATAAAATGAATAATCAATACATCTATTGATCAACCTATAGCCAGAAAGGACGACATTTAATATTGTCACATAAGAGAAGTTCACTCTTTATCGTAAAAATACAATGACCTGCAACAAAGTATAATATATAATTTTTTCAATCAAAGAAAAATTCCACGGCTAATCTACCCTTCCTTTGACAAATGTTTGAGAGCATTATGAAAAAAAGTGGCAAAAGCTAATAAAAAAGAATAACTTTTAAATATCATAAATGCTGATGGAAAAATTGAAATGAATAACTTATAAATATGATCATCTGATTCAAAATTGTATTATTGCTTATCAGTTTATATATATATATATTCATGCATGCTTGTTTTGGTGTTTGACTGTAGGGATATTTTTTAACTTTCATAAAACAAAGGTGGGTGCCTCATAAATTGGGAGTTTTGTAACCGAGTTTCAATCCCTATATAAAAAAAGAGCAATATCACTTGAATGTTGTGTTACCTGTCCACCTTCTAGGTAGCAATTAAATCTTGCTTTCCACATATTTGATCCATACGAGGCATACCATATATAAACATTTGATAATGCAGATCGCCAAGTACTAGAAACATGAATCTCCTCATCTGCAAAAACGCATAACTTGTCAAGTAATGAATACATGAAGAAAGGTCATGTACCACACCCTTTTGCCAATGAATTGCACCAACTCCAGTGGATCCAAACAAACTTCAGAGGACCAAAATCTAGAAGTCTAATGAAACGCATCAACGGCCAAACTTAAGGAGATAACATTATATTTTGCAAAAAGGAAAATATTAATACTTTCGAGATGTTTCTCCAACTATATATATAAAAAAACATCTAGGATCAAGGTTACCAGCATCCACTTTCAGTTTGGACAGTGGTTTTAAGACATCCTCAATAAGGTCTCCAAGATTTCCTGAAATTGGTGCACCCTTATCATCCTCATCTTCAGAGTCCGAGCTTGAAATCAGAGTATGCTTGCAAAGGGGAAAGAACAGAAAAAATATTTAATGAGTACTTGCCGATAAAAAGGAATGAAAACAAGATAGATAAACAGAAATGAACACAAGAAAGATGTACAAAATGGAAGATTTGAAAATAAATCCCAACCTTGCTATAATTGTAACTCTGCCCCCATGTTTTCATTTTTATCGGAAACACTGAAAAATTCTTTATTTTGTTTTCTATTTTCAGTGGATTTTTAAGATTTTTTTTTCTAAAATGTACCTAAACATATTTTATGAAAACAAAACAAAAGGTGCTCAAAATAAAGGGACCAAACCCATTAGTAGAACATCAAAGTCCCTTTTTCGACCCAAATCATCTGATTATTTTGTGAACCATTGAGAGAAATTAGTTGAGCATTCAGCTCAATTCTCACATGACAACTCCATGAAAACAGTAATGGAAACTACATTACCGGAGAGGGGCCTATTTGTGAGACTAACTCTTGTGGTAGTTTAGGTGCAAGTGTAGGCCAAAATGGACTTAACATCTCGCGAACCTGCAAAATATGCATGCCATTTTAGTACTAAATTAAGGAATTTCATGCATAAATGTCATGTGTATGGTAGGAAAGAAATAGATAACCTTACACCCTCTCTCTGCCCAGGAGAGAGAAAATTAAGTTAATTTTATATCCGTAAGAGGGAAAGGACATACATCAGTATAACAAGTTCTTACCGCTTGAATCACATTCCATGTAGACTCAAATGGATAGTCCTTTGAGGATTCGGCAACAGACTTGCCAGTTAGCAAAACTTCCAAGCAAGCATGCATTGATTTTGCAATGGAATCAAGATAATACCCCCCTTCTAAAATCAGTACAATCCTACCTTTAGCAAAATTCATCAACTGAAATAAAGGAAAACAGTTCTGTTACTGGTATTTGAACTTTTACATTTTTTTCAAAATTTAAAATTAGTGAGAAGTAAAATATTAAAAACAAAAGGTAGCATAAATAAAAATAGTATGCTGATAATGATGGAAAATAAATTAATCAATACTCATTCTTATAAGCCTACATATTTAATTCAGTTGTGTTAATAGCTAACTTTTCTTCAAATATAGCAGTTTTGATTTATCAAGTAACATACTAGCATTACAATAAACAGTACGAAGGAAGCGATCGCTAAAATTCAATCTTAAAGTAACCTTCTCCAACAGAACAGAATAACCAACTGCTGTGACACGACATCCTCCTAGAGGGTCACCGACAGCTGTGACAAAGAAGTGAATAATTATTACTTGTTACAGTTAAAAATAATAAATTAACATATCAACTGACCCAAATCCACTTCCTTCTTGCAAAACAGGTAAACTAGACTTCAAGTACAAATGCTAGCTAGCAATGCTCCAAAGCCATGGGAAGAACTAGTGATACCCTCTCCTCCCACACAGATAACAGAAAAACCCAAACGTCACAATAACATACCTGCATCAAATCCAGCAGAAACTATAACTATGTCTGGATTAAATTCTTTGGCAACAGGAAGCAAGATGTGGTCCCACACTGCAATGTAATCTGGATCACCACATTTCCCCTGCTCCCAGGGGACATTTATATTATATCCAGCACCTTCTCCTTCTCCCACCTGAGTATAAAACCCTTGGTGCTCAGCAGGATAAAAAGCCCCAAAGTCATACCTGTATGAATAGAAAAGTTTAGTTGATTGATGATAAACTATGAAATTTATACAAAGTTCATCTGAAGTCCTTAAAGCAATAGTCCTCGTCAGAGGTCCAAAAACTAGTAAAAGAAGGGTAAATGATCTAGCAGTCAAGCCCATTACATAACCTAACACAACCATGAGCAACAAACTTTTACCTTCCCTGATGTACTAAGAAACAATTACAAGATCAACAACCAGTAAAACTGACCAGAAAATATGTGAAAATAATTAACACACCTGTGAACGGAGAAGAATAAAACTCGAGAGTCATTCCAGAACGTTTTTTGAGTACCATTTCCATGATGGACATCCCAATCAACAATTAAAATTTTCTTCACACCTAAATCAGGCTGTCGCACACAGAAAAATAAAGGTGGCAATAAAGTATAACAGACAACTATAGGCTAGAAATTCTTAGTAAAATTGGAATTGGTAGTAGGTGCAATGTAACTCACTCTTTCGTCTAAGAGATATCTTGCAGCAACTGCCACATTGTTGAAGAGACAAAATCCCATAGCTTCATTATGTTCTGCATGATGACCTGGGGGCCTCACAATGGCAACAGCTGAATCCAATTCCCCACTTGCCACCTTTCCAACAACCTACTTGTCAAAAACATCTTAAATTAGGTTCACAAAGTTATTGTGGGAATAAGATGTAAAGCTTAAATTAATCAGATTAAGCGTAAGGCCTGCAGGGGGTTAGTGTATTGTTCGCAGCACTGCTGTCTCACAAAAAGAGGCATCTTTGCAACAATAACCTATGTCCACCCCGTCACTAGGCAAAAACAGTAATTTTCACCAAAACAAAGAGAGATAATATAGAGACAGCAGTCAAGCTGTAACAGTCTAACTAAAGAAATCTTGGCCAGAGATAAATACAGTCAAGACAAGTCAGTAAATTCCTTGTAGGCCATGCAAACTAAGACGGAACCAGGAAAATCTAACATTTAAAGAAAAACACAAAATCTTTATATATAAAGAAAGAATCGTCGAAAGCATCACCTCTACAGCAGAGCCAGCAGCAAGGAACGCAGCTTCAGATGAACCTTCATTAAAATATACGGAATTCAATTCGGAGGCAAGCTGAGACCTCCGCGATTTGAACCCCTTGGCGCTAATGTTCTTAATCAGATTCACATGATGTCTGGAATGAACTAACCGCACATGTCTGTCTTCAGCTTTCTTGGCCTCTAGAAGCACGCATCTGCAATACGATAAAGAAAATAAGCAAGATTAAATATAACAGACAAAGATTTAGCGAAACCCTAAAGCAACGTGCATGCGTCACCGTTGAGGAACGCCGGCGGCTTCGAGTCGATTCCAAATTGACCTAATGCGATTAGGATTCTCGACGTGCTTCGGCTCGTTCGGCGAGTAGTGTTTGCACATCCTACTATCGTATAGTAAACCAACACGCCGTTGACCGCTCGCACTGCTTTCTTTACTCTTGTTCTTGCCCTCCATGGCTGCACCCAACTTTTCAGTTTGTGACTCTGCTACTCAACTTCTTGAGTACAACCCGTACTATTTATACTGTCCTAATTCTAAGGTTTTATAGCGCGCTTTCATGTACCATCTTTTCTTTCAGCAAATTTCAAATTATTCTATTATTTTTAAACCTTTTCATTTATTAAGTTAATAAAAGAAATTAAGAAGCCTATATCTTAAATTTAATGTTCTGACTTCATAAACAACTTTTATTTATTATTTAACCGTTTCAGATACCAATAGTAGTATTTTTTTCTAACAAACCATTAGCCGCTTTAACTTGAACTGATGATGTTGTTTGCCCGTTATCTCTTTCCCTCGTTCATATTCCCGGTCAGAAGAATTTGAACAGCCAATCTCCACTTTTTTGCACTTTTCTAATTTCCCTTGCGATTTATATTTTTTTTTTAATTCTCAAACGACTTCAACGACCAATCCATGAGACTAGTTTACCACTGTTCTTTTGGATTAATTAATATCGAATAGAAAAATTATTTTTGAATATGTAATCTTGAATGTAATTTTAGATTATATACTGTAAAAAATATATTTTAAGATCTAGAGATGTATTTTAGATTGTGTGATTTGAATATTTATTTCAGATTTTAACAATTATGAAATTCCTAATTTATGTTTAGATTGTTTAATTTAAAAATATTATATATTAACCAATTTGATAGATTATTTATTTGAACTTTTGGACACTCATTGGAGATGCAGGTAAAAATTACAGGGCTGTAAGAAGTAATTGAAAAACAAAAACATCTTACACATTTGGGCTGGGGGCCCATTAATCACAAAACTAGTAAAAATATATGCCAGTTAATCGACTAAAACAAAGTTTTTTATGCATAAAAATTCAATACAAATAGAAAATATTTACATCCTTCGGAGCTCAAGCATTTGAGTTCCTTAGTGTTAAAACAAAAAGGATTTTGTTTAACGCTTGTTTGAATGAGTGTAAAAGAGTTTTGTATGATTATTTAGTTAGGAATCAACGACTTCTAAAGTAATTATGTTTAAAATGTTTTAAAAGTGAGTTCTTTTCTACTGCACCTCACCAACTTCAATATGCAATTCTCAATTCTTTTCTAATTCTAATTGTAGTCATGTTAGTGAGAATATTTTGATTTTATAAAAAGCTGACCCACCCACTACAAAGATCACTACAAAGAGAAACCTTCCTCTGTCGCATCTCAACTTTGAAACCTTACACCCTTTCTGGACTCTTTCGCACTCTTCCTTGTGTTGGGACATTGACAAGTATACCAAATCGTTTTAAGTAATAAAACTGGTAAGACCAGATATCGTTTCCCAAGAGACTCGTGTCACCAAACAATCGTATAATTTCCAACTAACTTAGACTAAAGAATGCTTCATAATTTGGGTTTTAGTGCAATTAAAGTAAACATGAAACATAAATGATAAAAGTGATCTTAGATACTCAAACACTTGGAAATGAAAAGATTAGAAATGATATGGAATGGTATTGTTGGGGGTATGATTTCACCTACTTCACTCTTATGTATAGAAAATCACTTCCTCTTCATTAATATGTCAATGTCAATCTACTAAATTACTCAAACTCAATCCCTTGGTAAAGAGAGCCTAGACTTCCTTATTAGGCTCCAATCCCATGGAAGACCTAACAATTATTTCCGCATTAAGAATTGAGATCTAAGACAACCAAAGGTCCTAGTTCTATCCCTAGATATTATTTCCTTTAGGTGTTTAATCCAAGTTCAGATTTACTCAACATTTTCCAATATCAAGCAAACTCTAAAATCATGTTATGGGTAGCAATTTCACAACAAGCATTAAGAAAAGGAATTAAACACTAACAATCAATGAAAGAGACATATATTCATTCAAAACACAGTAGTTTACATAAGAGTTTCGTGGCTACATCAATCCCCCAACAACAATGAAACTAGCCCTCCATGAATGGAAAGCTCAAGCTTACAACAATGGTGGAAATAGAAGAAGGAAGAAGACCCAAGGGTGAAGAAGGACTGTTCCCACAGCTCCTAACTCGCTTCCAAGAGCTCTAAATGAGAGAAATCATGTTTGGGCAGCAAAACATCTAGATCCCCTTGCGTTTCAGCCCTAAATAGACCCAATTTGCCACATCAGCGTCGCCACCGCTCAATTGCAAGCAAGTTGCACCCTAGCGGCAGCATTCCAGAGATCTGGCGCTCAGTTGCACCCCAGCGGCAGCATTCCAGAGAGCCAGCGCTCAGCTGCACCCCAGCTGCACCTCAGCTACAGCAAGTCTGGACGAATGGGACTCAACTGCACGCCAGCCGCACCCCAGCTTCAGCATTTATCTTTGCTCTCAAAACTTCTTCTTTTACCTTCATTCTTGCTTATATGGTTCTTCAGTTCTTCAGTTTGGCATACAAGCTTGGATGTAAATGACCAAAACATACTAAACAATGGGGATTAGTGATGAAATTGAATCATTAAAGTTTAAGATTCAACCACTTAAGAAACTAATCGAAAACTAGGATTTACAAGGCAAAAAGCTAAGAAAGAGTTGATATTTGCTCTCAATTCGACACTGAAATCATGGTAAAACATGTCATTATCACCCTTGCTCCCCTCCTGCCTTCTTAACTTTGAAATCCTATCAACATATACTCCTCAAATATCACTCTCAGTTTAGAGAGGCTTAGATAAAGTTTATTATGAATGCAAATCTAAATTCTATAAGTAAAAGATTTCCCCACCACAACCATTCATGCTATCATAATAACATTGGTAGCAAGGGACAACAAAAAGGAGAACTATGCACAAAACATCAAGATTTAGTACAAAATGGGGAGATTGAATAATCTCTGCAGAGAACATCCATTAATCATAAAGCATCTCAAATACATAGGGAGGTTAAAAAAACTATGGACAATAAACGAAAATGAGCACCCACAAACCAGTTCAAAGTGTAAAAATACAGTGAACCGCAGTTCGAAGTCCGCAACCATTGAAAAGTGTGGTTAAGGTTTTTAAGATGCACAGTAAAACCGCAGTTCGAAGTGCGCAACCATTGAACCACACTTCGAAGTGTGGTTAAGGTTTTTAAAATGCACAATGAAACCGCTGATTGAAGTGCACCACCAATGAACCACAGTTCGAAGTGCGGTTAAGTTGTTTAAATATTAAACCAACCTCTTTAAGAGCTTTCTATGACCACCTTCTTCTCGTCCAATATCCACAGCACCACCAACACGTAGCACAACCACTGCACTTTATAACCTCTCACCTCTCAACCCAGAAAAAAAATCAAACACTGAAAATGCTAGTCTCATGCAAGTGAAAAAACTGCAAGAGATAAAGGTGGTGCATGCATACTAGGGTTTATACAATCAGAACAGAAGTTGATGGTTAAGAGGATGGTTGACAATTAGAACATCATTAAGTCATTATTAATTATGTTTTGACTTTAATAAATGAAGGGCAGATATGTAAATTTGGAGGTGCGTGGTGAAATAGGTGAGGTGCAGGGAGCATCACTCTTTAAAAGTTTGCATTTGACTTTATTATATGTAAAAATATTTCTTAGCTTAATTTTTCATATATTTTATATTTATATTTATTTTGAGTGAAAAATAAAAAGTATTAATTAATATAATTAAGGTAAAAAAATCGATTAAGATTGTCAAATTTCGTACTATTTAATTTAATTAAATCATTTAGTTTTTATCTAATATAAATAAGATAGTTATATATGCTACTTTTAGCTATGTAATTTACTTCGCTGCCTATAACTTATATTAAATATTGGGTTAAATATGTTTTTCGTCCTTTAAGTATCACACGGTTTTGGTTTTAGTCCCTACTCGAAACTTTGATGGTTTTTAGTCCTCATAGTTTTGAAACTCTTACTGTTAGTCCTTAAAATTGGATGGCGTTAACTTTTGTTTGACGTGGCTAACCGCCAGCCCACGTGTCATGCCACTTGACTACTTTTAATTGACGTGGCAGTAAAGGTCTGGTGGTCGGTCGGCCTGGTGGGTGGTCGGCCATTCGGTCTGGTGGTCGGCATGGTGGTCTTTGCCCATAACCGTTCGGCCTTTTCCCAACATCGTTCGGTCTTTCATGTATTGCACTCCACCCGTCACCATAACCGTTCGGTCTGCGCCCAACACCGTTCAGTCTTTGCCCAATACCCACCAGGACGACCGACCACCAGACATTGTAACCGACCACCCACCAGGCCGACCGACCACCACACCTTTACTGTCACATCAATTAAAAGTAGTCAGGGAGGCTGGCCGTTAGCCACATCTACTAAAAGTTAACGCCGTCCAATTTTAAGGACTTATAGTAAGAGTTTCAAAATTATGAGGACTAAAAACCATCAAAGTTTGGAGTAGGAACTAAAACCAAAATCGTGTAATACAATTTAACCCTTAAATATTAACTGTAATATCATAATTTTAAACTATTGTAAAATATTTATTTTCTAATACATCATAAATAGGAATTTAATATCTACAGAATAAATACAAGATAATATTTTAAGGACTTTGAAGAATTTTATATTAGAAAAATAAAGGAGAGAAGATTATTTTTTATATTACGTATAATTATCAATTTTAAAATTATAAAACATCTTTTTAACAATTTTTAGATAAAGTTTCTATTCATGAAAATTAAACATTTAGTTTATAGTGATTCATTGTCACAAAATCGAAATCAGTGTTTAGAAAACAAAATTATAAAGTATAGGTAAAATATAATTATTTAAATAAAATATGAAAGTTAAAATAATGAATAAAAGAAGTAAAAATAACATAATTAGTGTATTAATATTGAATATTAAATATATTACATTGTGAATGTGTTAATGACAGAGAAAATTCAGTGAGCAATATGGATGGTGCCCTGACTAGGGAAGATTGGGCAAAGTGATTAAAAATTGAATGAAGAAAAAGAAAGGTAGAAGTGAATTTAGCAACCCATGTGCCCATAAACAGACATGTGGGGAATACAAGAAAAACAATCAGAACGCACAACACAACAACCATCAAAAACACACCCTTGCACAAAATGGACAAATAAATAATACATTGGGAAGACAAACACCGCATTATTTAAGCAATCAAGTGAATCAGGTAACAGCCCATACGTTGTGTTTTAAAAATAACACCAATTCAAAAATGGTTTTCCATGTGATAGATTTTTCATGCACAATACTACCCTAATGCTGCCATATGTCGTCGTGCTTTCTCTTTCAGCAGTATACAGCTCAACATTTCAATTACAAGGACCACACTGTTTGACTACAACAAGACCATAGTCAATCAAAAACTAAGTTTGAAATTGAAATGGACAGAGCATGCTTTGTTTGGTTAA